CACACACACACACACACACACACACACACACACACACACACACACACACACACACATCCATGGAAAAAAAACGAGGCACGAGCAACGTCCACATCCATGCGACTGCGGTCGACGACAGCGGATTCACAATGATGTGATGGCTACAGCCGACCAATGATCCCCGACGGTCGCACGTGTCTACCGTTCTCGTATAACCTTCACTATTTCCAGCAACGCCGGGCACATAAGCTTGCTAACTTCAGTGGAGGCAGAACAGTGTTGTTTCTGGATCTGCACCTCTGCTTCGATAGCTTCGCACTACTGAATCTGGATGGAGCATTGCCTCTTGCTCGCGCTCTCCATCGTCTCGCACTGCCTCCTGCTGGCGCTCTCCATCGTCGACGCCATCAACGCCCCATGCTTGTCCATGCACTCTGACAACGCCTCGAATGTTTGCTGCCGCACATTCTTCCTCTTCCCGAACCCGGCCGGGCCACCACTCGTTTGTGAGCCACCTCGTGCTGAGCTGTCGTCTTCGTCGTTTCCATCACCGGCAGCTTCACCATCCCCCACAGATTTTGGAGTCGCCGACTGTGCAGATGGGAGTTGCACACCCCCTGCCCCGCCAGTGTCTGCAACATTGGTCGGGCTGATAGTGTGGCTCCTCTCCCTCGCCTCTTTGATCTCCTCGAAGACGGCTCGATCCATGTTGAAGTTGAATCCTTTCTCTGCCCTCTGCTGACTCGTCAGCTGGAATAAGTCCTCCTTCCCCGACATGCCCATGAAAGCGTGGACCTTCTTGAAGTGCTGCATGAGATTGTCCCATTTTTTCCCGCATTTGTCTGCCGGCCTGTCGACACCGACCTTCAGCCTCTCCCGGACGTCCATCCATTTCCACTCCCTCGTCCGCATCCGAGCAAAGTTGTGTCCTGACGCTTGCAGTTGGGCGTCCTGATCCCTCTTCCCCCTGATTAGGGCCACCATGTGTTCTACGGACCAGAAATTCCGCCCTCCTTCCCCATCACCCTCGCCTTCCGCGTCTGCAGAGGCCGTCGTCGATCTCGTCCGCCTGCGCACCGCTCTAGTCGAAGTGCTGCCCCTGCCGCCCCTGCCGCCCCTCCCGCCCATGTTCGGCGCACGCAATGGGAACACGTCGCCGCTGTCGTCGTCGTCTACGTCGCACTGAACTTCATCAGCGTTTGCCCACGCGTCACCCCCCCGGCGGCCACGTCTGCTTGCCCACTCCGCTCGCCCACGCGTAAACGCTCCACACCTTTCGTTATGGACTCTTCTTGCTGCCGCCGCAACTCCTGCCTCGCATCCTTCCACACCCGCCTGCCATCTCCATGCGCGCCCTCGGAAGGGAAATCTTCGTGAGTCACAGCCCGATCAACGGGACGACGAACGCCGTCGCGCCCCCCGGACAAAGGAGGACTGAGGGTCATCCACTCAGGACGTTGCCCGACAGTGCGTGGAACTGACGGGCCAGAAGTCGCCTCCGTTCGAGGCCATGTCGTCGTCTTCCCCGACGTCACCTCTGCCGCTGCTATGCCCCTTGTGCCCCTGCCGCCGAATGTGACCTGCCCCGCATCGTCGTCGGGATGAGGGTTCGCGAGCACAGTGCGCGTGACAGAAGACGGGCTCCCGCTCCGGAGGCCAAATGTGAGATCGAGAGGGGGGAGGCAATCCTCCTCCTCCGCGCCGTCATGAAGGAGGGAAGTGAGCGACTGCCCGTACTTCGTTCCGCGGCAATCATACAACTGGTTACCCGTCCACTCCTGGGTAGACCCGCTACCCAGCGGAACTGTCGTCGACACGTCCACCTCCGCCTCCCCCCTCGTCCGAATCGGGCAGCGGTTGCAAGTGAGGCGGCAGTCCTTCGTACGGTGACGGACCTGCCGCCCTTCTGTCTGCACCGGCACAGATCGGAGCCCGGTCGGTTGGATAAGGGTCGGACAACGTCCTCTGAGTCGGCCGCCTCCCGTCCATGGCAACGCTCTTCCTCGCCCCTACTTTCCTGCGACTACGTGAAGGCAACCTCCCCAATATGCACACGTGAACAAAAACGACAACGACAAGAAGAATCACGACGAGGAGGAGCAGCGACAGCTTGCGGAATACTTCGGCCATGTAAGACAACCGCAACGTAACGACCAACCTGACGGCGACAAAAAGCAGACGCCAAGTGATGGCTGATGACGCCCTTCGCCGATTTACATTGCGGACCTCTGCTGTCGGCGACGGACGTACAGCCCGACGAATTTCGAAACGGCCACCCGTTGGAGGCCTGTCCGTTTCCCGCCGGCACGCACGAGCGGCCGGGTCACCTCGGGCCTTCCACGGACCCCGTCCGCCACTCTTCGTTACCGTTGCCGCTGTCCCCACCGAAGTCAAACATTGTCGGACGGTAATGTCCGCCCACACCTCGACTGGACCACCGTTGTACCACACTACAAAACTGTGTCGTCGTTGAAGGCTGCCGCCGCCGTCCCGATTTTCGCGGAAACTCCCACTCCGAGGGACCTCGCGAGGTGCCTTGGGGAGCGCAGCCAAATGGCTGTGGCCCGAGGACGCCCCGAGGACACCCCGAGGAAATGTTTTGACATCGGTTTCCAAGGAACTCTCTCCGAGGACAAATGGAATAATCATTTCCTCGGGATTTTTGAGCGTCCGAGGAGTGTCTAACGAGCCCCTATGTCTAGTATTGTCGTCTCTCTCTTATGTTGTCTTCGCAAATTATAACCAAAGTGCAATTAATGTCTCCTTTTGCTTTATGTATTACATCCTCGTTTCTGGGTCTTTCCTTCTGTCCGCTTTTTTTTTTTTTTTTTTAAATTTTAAGTCAAGAGTGTTGTAGAGGTCTGTTTTTGGACCCACGACAGGTACCTATCTACAGTTAGCAACTAATTTATGAGACGCAGACCATCTTATCTTGGAGGATCCCCCTCAGACAACCCCTACTGCAGGTTCCCCAACGATTTCCTCCACCAGAGTCTGTCTACTAACACCCCTCCTACCGGGATCCCTTAAGGCAGTCCCCTACTGTAGGTTCCCCACTGATATCCTCCAGCAGAGCTTGTCCCAAGCCAACCCTTCCCCCAAACGGGACCCCATCCCACCTCAGGTCCTTGGCCCCCCCAAAGCAGAGCCTTTTTTTTTTTTTTACTAAAAATTGCTCCAATCTATTCGTGGGGAGCATCACGTGCTGGGAACCGGGCCCAACGTCCTTTATAATGGGAATACATAGATGATTGACAATTGATGAAAATTTGGGATGATTCAGGATCATTTTGGATGATTTAGGATGTCAGAGTGGGTGATTGAGGTCATGAAATAGAGCTAGATGATGACTAATCAGAAAGATTGTCTACTCAGCACTGAATTACTATCCTATCCCTAATTTCCTATATCCATTTCAAACAACCAATCACAATTGAGCCCGTGTTGTGCACCAATCAGGCCTCTTCCCAGTCTCACACCCCAATCTGGCTCGGTTACAGGGCAGCGCTACCCAGCCCAACTCCGACCATCGTCGACCAGATTGTAGCCACTAGTGAAGTTTGTAGATTACCTTCCTCCCTCGGCAATTCCAGACCTCTATACAAAGCCTCAAGCTCCTACATATGCAGGTTACAGGGCACTGCCCCAGCGCCGGCTATCGTCGTTTTGGCGCCAACTCAACCTGGCCATTGCACAAGAAGACTCAATTAGGAAATTAGCTAATCTAGAATGCCAACCAGAAATCAAGGATCTGATAATATCAGAATCCTGATCAGCAAAACTTTCTGATGATGAAATTTGAGAGTACCCTGAGATGATCACAAAGATGATGGGTAATGATGACGACGTTGATGATTATTTATCTCCACCCCTCCCCTTCTTCCATGTATTCTCCTCCTCTCCCCTCATTTCCTCTTCTCCTCTCGCTGCCTCCGCTGAGCCCAACCCCGCTATCACCATAAAGTTCCTATCAGCCCCAACGAGAGAGAGAACCTCCCCATTCCCTTCTACATTGAGGCAACCAGGTCCCCCAGAAGGTGTTATTCAAAACTAATACTCTGACCTAGTCTGCCTCCGCCAGAAGATAATGCGCCCCCATACATATCTCCCAGCCCCATCCCAGGTCAGCTCCCATCATTTGCGTCTACTCCCTAGAGGGCAATCACCCCCCACCTTGTGTTACCCTTGCGGAGTAGCGCTCCCTTCCTGACCAACCTACCTACCAACTAGACCATAGCCTATCTGGGAGATGAGAATATAACCACCAACGAAGAGATAACTACTGATTGATTAAAAAATGAATAAAGAAACCTTGGTGACGATGATGATGATGATGATGATGATGATGATGACTCAAATTGGTAGATGATGATGATGATGATGATGATGATGATGATGATGGTGAACTAAAATTGGCAAAAATAATTAAGGAACGTCGAACTTGTGATGCCCTAATGGCATCGGTGTGGAAGATTGACAACTCACTATTGCTGTAATGAAAATAGAAGATGATGATTACGATTTTTACAGAGAAGTCCTGATGATGATCATGAAGAAGATAAAAAAAAGATAAGTAACATGGAGGTAACCAACACACATGAGCAGTCTAACCACAAACCCGTACATGCATCCTCATTAGACTGCTAACTGTATCAAGCAACCCCCTCATAGGCCAGGACCCAACATACAACACAATGGACAGTCCCCTGGGTGGTGTGCAGGCAGTGTCTGTAATAGCTTACCGTGGGTCAGCCCAACCTACCTCCTTATTACCCTCAATCGCCAATAGTTGTTTATTTACGTTGACGTACCTTTATGATAGGCGGTTAATGGAGATCCAAAATTTCAGACAACTTGTCATGCCATTTATAACAAAATATGGGGTCAATTTAACCAGACTTGCCACCAATTCATAGAGTGAAGACCATAATAACTAATTGTCCCCCCCTCCAAAAAAAAAACTATAAAACAGCAAGGCAAAAGTGCACTTTCATGAAATTTCGCCAACATTCCAATTTCATAAAATTTGTGAAATTTCATAAATCCCCGCAGAGGAAATTTCAATGCTCCAAATGATATCAAATTTGGCACACAACAACCTTGAACCAAAAGAAAAATTGGCAAAAAAAAAACAAAACATAAATTTAAACCCCAAACCCTAATTTCAGTTTTAGACCCGTTAGTGAGAAGCTGAAAGTGGGGGTCCCCGTATAACCACTTGTGACTTTTAGCAATCATTTTAGAGATCTAGCCTCCCACATGTTCAATAAACGAACCACAAATGTGAATGAAGTCTACAACATTGCTACAGACCAATGAAGATGACTAAATCCAACATTGGGAGCTGATGAAGAGTAAGAAAGAGTCGTACCCTTCTCAACTTATGTTCAGTATTTACGTGAGGACACTTGTGCCTCTATACTCTATTGAGAAAAAGCAGTGGATAAATTTGGGATAGTGTACGACCATATGCATAGTACACAATTATAGTGGAATAGCGAAGTCGAGTTTCATAAAACTCTTCAACGCGACGACGGTGGTGAAGTATACATGTTTCTTTAACATGTGAGGAAAAGCAGACTCCAATCTCGTAGGGGGTTCTTCATTACATGCCTTAACTATCCCACTAGCACCGACGCGCTCCAGGACTGTGCGTCAAGACCTAGTAGGTGTTGTAGGTGCAATAAGCGATGTATACGACAAATGATGATGGAGATAATAACTTTCCACCTTTCAACCGACCCATCATACTGTATTTTGCCCAAGGTATGTCTAAACACAGCTTCATGTTACTATGATAAGGTTGATAAATTTGGAGGGTAGTTTCTCAACTCAACAAAAAGTAGTGCAAAATCTCCATATATGTAATCCTGGTAACATTTGTGCATCTAAAAGAACTTTCATAGTTTCTTGAAGTTTATGAATATGTGATGGTGTGTAGGTGTGCAGGAATTTACGAGAGGCGGCTGTAAGGTTGGTCGTCTACTATACATTCAAGCAACTAGACAGACCAACATCATAGCAAAGGCGATGGTGGACCTGCAAATGCACACCATGCCAAGAGATCGCCTATAGCTGCACGTGCGTGGCTAATGCTTCATGTTGTAGGTACCATATGCAGCGCCCCCCCCGTTGCCTGTAGTCCTCCATACCCAATCGTAGTGCCGCGGGTTCCCCCGCACGTGAGCGCTTACACGCCGATCTGTATTCAAACTGAGGTATGTGCCAACTAATATAGTCCCATTGATTTACCTGATAGTAAAATGGGGCAAGGAAAAGGACCTTGTGAAAAGCGAGAACCTCCTCTCCCTTCCCGACCAACTGACTATCCTCAGAATTGGGCACACCGCAATTGTCATACCCTCCGCAGCTCTCTGCTATTACTGACAGGAATTGTGACCCCTATGCAGGTCTGTGTTACTCGAGCACTTGGACCATTTGTCGATTTATGTGTGCCATCCTTACGCAGGGGCCATGCAAATCTTCTCTGCATCATCATCATTGCCATCATTCCAATTTTAACTGATGTCTCGAAAGACTTGCCTTTGGGTTCTAGTTACATGAAAAAATTGATGATGCAAAGGAAAATATTTGATGTAAGGGACATTGGCCTGTTTTCCAGCAGATGCAGCTCCCCACCCTCACGAAGGGGCTGATATCTGGGAGTGCTCTTACCACCCCCGATACCAGCCCTGATGGGGGGGTGGTAAGAGCACTCCCAGATATCAGCCCCTTCGTGAGGGTTGCTCGTTTGTATTGGTGGGGAGCTGCGCCTGCTGGAAAACGGTCCATTTTTATTTATCATTATAGTACTACGGGGAACCCGTAGCAGCCAGCCCTAGTTCAAGCCCCCAACGAGAGAACATGTGGGGGCTGCACCCAACCTGCAGATGGGGATACCGGCCAGCCTGAGGGGTCAGGTTGTAGCATCAGGACTGAGCTTCTTTGACGGGCCAGTCGCTGTGCCTCCTCTCCGGCCGGCATTCAGGAGGTCTTGGGTTCAATCCCCATTGGCCTCATGTACCTTCCTGGGCAAGGTTGACACCCGCCACCTAGAGATAGCCCGTTGGTCCCCCCGAGCGGCATGGGGAACCCGTCCAGTGTTCTTCATGTTGGGAAAAGAAGAGAACAGAAAACAAAAACGAAGACATTGCCTTCGGGCCGCGCCCTTGCCCTTGCCCTCGCCCTCGCCCTCGCTGTAAGCCAGTCTTGCTTGGGTGAGGGGGATGGGGCTGGACAGGCTGTTTTACCATTAGCAGGGACTACCGAGTCTCGCTGGGAGTCTGCCAGGACACTGTACTTCCAAGGCGTTATATTCAGTAAACTGGTGGCAACTTCAGTGGGGGCCCAAAATTCAAAAAAAAAAAAAAAAAAAAAAAAACTGTTAAAAAAGATATTGTTGTCCATAATTTTTTTTTTTTTTTTTTTTTTTCAAAAGCTATATTCTTCTCTCAATTTCACCTCACACTACCTACCTACCACTACTCCTAATTGTAGGCATATGGGGAACCCCGTAGCAGCCAGAACCGTGTTCACGCGGGGGAAGTTATGCATGAACGTAATGCTCATAATTTTCCTTTGGATCTAGCATCTGTGGATGCTCCTTCTATAAATGCTTAAGTTTATATTAGTAGTATTGATTGAGTAAATTGATTTTTTATAATAACATTGAGCTAAAGTACAAAGTTTCATTCTATTGAATTAATAAAAAAAGAACAATTGAAGCTCCGGACCTGCAGGTGGGCGATACCGGCTAGGGGACAGCCGGTAGCATCACGGACCATGCCAACAGGACCAATCCCTGTGCCTCCCCTCAGGTCCCCTCCCCTATGAACATCAGCAGACTCTGCTAATGAGGGTGACTACAGAATTCCGTATAACTCGAAAAAAAAAAAAAAAAAAAAAAAAATCAAACCGAAATATGCCCATTGCAGTTCAAAACCCCTTTCAACCCTCTCCGGCGTTTCAAACCCATGGACATTCAATTCAACTATAACGCCCAGGCGTTCTATTTGAATATAACTGCCGGATGTTATATTCGAACATAACGGCCAGGCGTTATATTCGAAGGGACGTTCTATTTGAGAAAAAGAGAGTAAAACGAAAATCTGATCTTCTTTTTATTTTTTTTTAATTTTTTTATTTTTTTGTTACCATCAAAGTTGCCTCCGATCTATTAGTGGGGAGCAGCACTTGCTGGGAACCGGGCCCAGCGTCCCTTATAACAACTCAACATTGATAAGTTGGGGCCAGGGTCCCCACATTCTGCCCGGTGAAAAAGACTTCCAATGGAAATCCGAGCACAGTGGGAAGGGAGAGCCTCTTTTCTGAAACTGAAGATACCTAGACTTAGGTCTCGCCGCAGGGAACACGAAACGGAAACGAAAGGAGTGCATCTGCCCACGAAGGGTGGCAAAATACACTCCTTACTATCTATAGCAAACCGATGAACCTGGCCATTTTTCTGGTGGAACATACATTCGTTTCGTTTTTCGTTTCGTGTGCCGAGCGGCAACGCCCTTAGTGGAAATTACCAGTCCCTCTCAGCGAAGAGCTGTCAGACAGGCAGTCTAGGTCTCTAGGACTGTGGGAGTGATCCCATATAAGATCAGAGAAGAAAAGCTTATTACCGTTGGAGAAACCCGCCCAAGTATAGGAAAATCTGATCGTTTTAGGGTAAGTTGAAAGATAACGCCCGGGCGTTATTTTCGGGCGAAGACGGTAGGGTCTTCTCCTGCACGCAACGTACCCTCCTTTAGGCTGTACTTGACTGGAATATAGCTTGTATACATTCATTATCAGCGCACGCTATCTTCTGGGATAGAACTTTTCTCGACGAACCTTGACCACAATTGCGGTCAGATACTTCGCCTTGAACTCCAGGTATCGTGAGCCGCATGCCTGACCGAGGCCATACTTTTTCTGCCACTGGTAGCTCGGGAGGTGACTGCAGTCAGATTCATCCTGTTCTTCTGGCGTTAATTGCGGCCAGATACATTTAGGAAAGTGCTACGTAGTGTGAGTATGTTCTGAGACGATGATGCGAAGTGCAGTAGCCGCCCATCAGCAGCCGTTCATCCAGTCCACGTGGCTGCTGCGGGCAAGCGCATGTAGTGTTCCGCACGTCAGAGCGGAAGCACCGAATGGAGATGGCGGGCGGAAGGGACTACTGGCAAGCTGGGGGTCGTTCAGAGCGGAAGCACCGTCGATCTTGACTGGCGGAAAGGCTGGGATCGATCAAGGCGCATGGTGGGGAAGGGCCACTACCAGCGGCGGTAGTGTTGCAGCGCGGCGGGGGGCAGCTCTCCGCGGGGTGCATAGGAACGCAGCGAAAGCGCCGGTGACCGGGCACTTATTGCGTGCTTTATCTCCTCCTCCTCCTCATTGGTCTTCCTCTTTTCCTCCTCCTTCTTCTTCTTCTTCTTCTTCTTCTTCTTCTTCTTCAGGGAAAGTTTGTGCGCGCCATCGCTGTGCCCAGGGGCGAGGTCCGACTAGAACGCTCCGAATGGAAGCAGCTGTGCCGGTTATGGCGATGGCGGAGGGGGAGGGGCATTCTCTCTCTCCTTCTCTTCCTCCTTCTCCTCCTCCTCCTGGCTCCTCACCATCTCCACAGCTCATGACGATTCTCAAGCCGCCCAGGGCCAAGAAAGTGCCGAAAACGCTGATCAGGTGTGGGGACCACCGTACGGACGATTACCACTGGCTGCGAGACGACAAGCGCTGCGATCCCGATGTGCTTGCCCATCTGACGGCTGAGAACGAGTACACGCAGGCACTGATGAAGGACACTGAGTCGCTGCAAGAAACGCTCTTTCAGGAGATGAAGGGTCGGATCAAGGAAGCCGATGTCACTGTGCCTGTCCGTAAAGGCGACTACTTGTACTACACTCGCACGGAGGAAGGAAAGCAGTACCGAGTGTGGTGCCGGCTTCTCATTCCCGGGGGACGTGGCCCAGGGACCGTTGATGAGCTGGTTGATCTGGACACGAAGGACAACAGGAAGAAAGAAGAGATCCTTCTGGATGGAAATGCAAGAGCCGCAGGATTAGACTTCTTCGACGTCCACGATGTCGTGGTAAGCTCAGTCGTTAAAAAAAATAAAAAAATCATCAATTCAATCTCATGATCCGCATGCCACGTGGCATCATCCCATCATCCCATGTGATCAAACGTCCTGAACGTTATCTGGATATGTGTTATTGAAATATAATAATAATAATAATAATATAATCTAGGCTACCAGAGTGGCCCGGGACCATCTGCCCGGCCGGGCAAAAAACGAATTAATAAATAAAAAAATAAAAAATAGTTTTTAATTTAATTTTTATTTTAAATTTGGTAAGGAATTTCGATGTGACCCTGAGGCAAAAGTTGTTCAGTTTATTTTTCTGCATAACATAGTTTTTTTTTCGGATTTTTTGGAGGG